ACGAATACCCGTCACGAGGCTTAAGGAGTATATTGAGAAAGCGCAGCAAGGGACGTTCGATCAAGACAGAGAGAAGGACGAGCTCACAATGGCCCTTGGGAATCCTGAGCACCCTGGACGGACACGAGGCACGCCAGGCTCCCTTCCGTGGAAGGCTCGGTTTCCGGACGCAGGGGGTTACAAAAGCTAGGAGAGGAGGAAGAAAGTGGAGCATAGCCAACTGCAGGCGCTGCACGAAAGGGTACAAGGGCTAGAGGAACGAGAAGCAGATCGCAGCAAACGACCTGCCGAAGCTTCCCCTGAAGCTACCCCGTCATCTCAGCGGAGAAGCAGCGTGGCTTCCACCGAGCAGACTCAGCAGCTGGAGCATGTCTTCACGGCTCCTACTAGCTACCCCGTGGATGCTATCACAGAGTCTCAACATTGCCTCCTTATAGCACGATGGATGACATTGAAAGTGAAGGTGACTATTGGCTCTGTTTTACCTACTGAACCTAGCACAACCTACCACGGCCAGTCGAATCCAGAAGGATATGCTAGGGTGATGGTGGATCAAATAACGGACGGATTTGAGGACCTTGAGCTTGACGACCCTACGGGTGAAGGGGAGATTCGGCTGGGTTCTTCTCTGAAGACTCCATGCCTATGGCGGAAGGAGCTCATCAACCTTCTGAACTGGACGCCTCCGCCTCCTCCTCCTCATTCGGCGAGTCAGGACACTCCGCCTCCTCCTCCGCCTCCTCCGGCGAGGGATCAGGGCACTCAGCCTCCTTCTTCGGCGCGTGGCGGCACTCCGCCTCCTTCTCCGCCGCCTGCGCCTGCGCGCCCGAGCAGCCAGCCACCTCCTTCTCCGCCTCGTCAACAAGGGCGGAAGAGACCCGCCGTCGCTCCGGCTGCTCCGGCGCGTCGTCCTTCTCCTCCGCCTCGTAAGAAAGGAAAGAAAACCGCAGCCATTCCGTCTGCTCCGGCGTCTAGCAGTACAGCCAGAGGCAGGCAATACAGATACGGTCCTTCTCTGAAGACTCCAGAGAAGTTACCATACGAGAGGAGCCAGGAGGAAAACACGAAGATCGTGCAAGCTGAAGTGACCAACTTCTTTGAAGGGGTCAAAGCAAAGAAAAATCCACCTCCGGAGGAGAAGATAGACCCGGTAAAAGCGAAGTGTACTCTGGCTGCCCTGACGAAACCACCAAAGTCTCCGGTGAAAGACAACGATGAGCGCATTCTTACAAAGTCATTTATCGAAGCGGAGCGGTCGGGAAGTACTGTCAGTGGTCAAAGGTTAGCAGAACGACGAGCTGGGAAAAAAGTTGCCTAGCTCGGCGAACAAGCGAACCAATTGTTGCCCCCGCTCCAGGTGTCTAGCGTCGTCGCGAATCATCCGGGCGGGATGGTGCCCGGTTATAACGATCTTGGAGATTACCTGCCCGACGATGCACATTTTGATTTCTTGGAGGTGGACGAACACAAATACGTGTACGGGAAGCCTCTCGTCAAAGATGAAAAATCTCTAACAACGATGATGCGAAGATTCCATGATTGGTATATGAAAACCTGTAGAGAGTCTGAGGGGAGGAATATTTTGACGCTCAGAGTTAAAGAGGAGCATGACCTCGTTGGAATTGAACTGTTGAATGTTCCATTTGAGGAGTTCTTTGAGTTTTTCAATCTAAAGGCCCTCGATAAGTTAATGATCACTTGCTACTGCCTGTAAGTAGTACTACTTCTGTCATTAAGTCTCTATATGTAGGTCAGCTCTTTCATTGCATGTATTTTTAATTATCCTCACTATATTATGCAGATTGAAGATCGCCGAATTGAAGAAAAGACAAATCGGTGATATTGGGTTCATTAACACAAATCTCATAGATGCATATATGGTTAAATTTCAAGCCAAAGATATAGAGGTCAAGCTTCTACAATCGTTTGTATTATATCAAAACAAAGCTGTAATACTCTTCCCTTACGAATTCGAGTGAGTGTTACTGTCTTGTGCATATTCGGTTTCCCTTATTAGTCAAGGTTATAGTAATGTAATTGATGAGTTATGCATGCGTGCGTAGCTTCCACTATATTCTCCTAGAGATTAAGCTTGAGCAGGGACTAGTAACCGTCTTAGACTCGAGACAAAAAGATCCCAAGGAGTACGCGGACATGACTGCAATTCTAGAGAAGTAAGTTAAATCGATCATTATCGCACCATATCGGCAACTTCAATTTGTTCATTTCCTGATATGAAGTAATTGTTTTCTTTGTCTGACAGGGTTTGGAATAAATTCACCTCAAAAACTCCGGGACTACCGAAGAAGTTGCAATTTAGACACCCGAAAGTAAGTATTATAGTAGCATGTTCCACGCATCTCCTATAGTGATTCAAGCGCTAGTTTTATCAATACCATTTAGCATGCTTGCTATATAATTATCAGTTTGATTGACCTCTATTTCTTGTAAAATGGTTGTGGTAGGAACAAGGGAATAATTACCGTGGATACTACATTTGCGAGTCCATTCGCCACACGACCTGTGAGCGGGGCTACTCCGGCAAACAATATGAAGTGCGTAAATAATAATATTCATAATTTTATTTTATTACCATCATTTGTGTTCAGTTTCATTTACTCATATATATTTATTGACCCCCTTCTTCAAATTAGATATTTCGGATGCGGGAAGAACCTACCACCAGATCGTATGCGAGGAATTCAAGAGGAATTGGCGGCATTCTTTCTTGACCACGTGATCGCCAAAGACGGAGAATACCACGTGGACTATGCGTTCATTTGGAACTAGGAGATTATATTGTAAGAGATAATTATATTGTATATAGCGTCGGATAGATATACAAGAACTTGTTGTTCGACCAATCTCTCAGAGAAGGAGAGGTGATCGATATCACTTCTCTCTGTATGCATATGTTCATGACGATCTTTTGTTTCCTTCATTTTCTTACGACCTAGCGTGTCTAGTCCTCTCTATACGTATAGTACGTACCATCGACCAAGCACGAAGATAAGAGAGGACACTTCTCTGTATTAATTAGCTAGCTAACACAATATATGAAACACCTGAATTAACCCTCCAAAACCCCCCTAACACCCCCCCCCTTTCAAAAAAAAAAACAAAAACC